CTAAGGTCTTGTTTTCTACATCTTCTTCTTAAGGATATGTCTCAACTCTGTGTACAGTACACTGAAGCATTAGAAAGATTGTTTTAGTTTTTTGCAAAAAAGTAAAGAAATTAATAAAAATTTAAGTAAAATATAATAGCATTCCACATGGGCACGATCAGCTAAAATATTCAAGGTCTTTTCATGTGACATTTGTCAGAATAATGCAATGGTCACCATAGAAACACATGTTTGCTCTGTGTACCTCACAGGATGTGCCTGTCCTTAATGACACACAATCCAAGGTGTACTGCAGTATAAGTACTCACGGGAAAGAAACTAGAACATGTCAGTGAAAAACACTTTGCCCACTGCATTTGAATTAATACAGTAATATAAGTACAGGTACAAGGACTACGCCTTCACAGCTTGTCCTCACAGCAAGGGGGTGCACAGGTTTGCATGTCCAGTATGTATCCCACCCTCACCCACTGACAGGTGGGATCGGTTCCAGTTTTTCTCACTATAAAACGTCCCTGTCGTGAATTGAAAGCAGTTACACCTGGAGGTTCCTAAATTACTCGCTGATTGCTTGAAACCAGATGTGATACTTCGGCTCTATCAAAGTCTTATTTTCCTTCATGTACTCCAAAGAAAAGGAAGCGGTATTGTTGTTCTTTCTGTTATGCGACTTCCCTCATCACGGCAAGCTTGATACGAACAGAAAAGGTGCCTTAAAAAGTCGGATCTGACTTTGTGACATCATAACAGATGTGTCAACTCTTTTGGTTTGTCCTCACTGGACCAAAGGGTGAGTCATTGCTCCAAAGTACATTACAGCCCTCATTTAGATAAACTTTTAGTGAGCTCTGACAGGGCACATCATCCCTGACCATGTGATTCTACGTGCTGACTCTAACTGCATTAAGTTATGATTTAACCAGGATCAGGTTTCTGACTTTGTCATGGTGATTGGTGACAGTTTTTTTAGGGGAGTAAAAGTAGAAAATGACTTATTTGGCCTGCAGAAGTTCAATCATGAAAATGGAGTCTTCCATTGATTTGATGTTGGCGTCACTGACACTGTTGCTGTTTAAAGCCTGAGTGAGTTCAGAGAGGTTGATCCCAGAAGCATCCTGCCCGTGTTCATACTCTCAACAGTAGGAACGTTTCCTCAGGGTCTCACAAAAGGAAGGAAATCAGTGGGAAAGAGAAAAGGAGTGGACAAAATCTATGGAAAAAGGTAATCCCCTCCCTGTTCTAACCTCACATCGCTAAAAATGGCTTAGACGCATTTCAGTTGTAAAAAAAAAAGTCAAACTTTTTGTGGCTCTGGTAGACAGACTATAATAAAAAAAAGTATAAGAACAACATGTCAGAAATCATAATGAGGTTTAAGTTAAGGCCTAAGTTATAGTTCTTTCTTTCATAAGTCAGTGTACAGAAAATGCAAGAAGTTACGTTTCCTGTGGAAGCTTCCACATACAGTACTTCCTGTAAGGGCCCCATCATCATCAAGCACAGACAGGCTGTTCACATACTGAGAGCATGTGCATCTTTGTTCAGGGTTAATACAGGTTTAAAACCTTCCCTTTAAACGACAACAATACATTCTCACATTTGGGTTTAAGGTACAGACCATCATTGACAGCCAGCCGAGGCTGCGTGACGGACAGAAAGAAAACACAAACAACTCGTGGACCGGTTATTAAGAGATTAGTCAGAAAAAGAAATAATAGACTCTGTCATCACCAGGGATCCATTTGTGGCCTTTTTGTTTGTTTGACCGTTTGTCAGTGCTGCACGGCCCTCAACACACTGTCACTGTCCATCTCCAGCCAACTGTAAAATCAATCTATTAACATGCACAATCACATGTGCAGAATGTGATACATCACACCACCGTCAATAACTGCCTCAACCCCCTCTCTTCCCCCCATGGCAAAAGCCACTTTGTGGGTTGCCACTGAGGTTACAGAGCGTACCTTAGCACTGCAGCAGCACAATGGTCTAATGATCCATGACCAGGCCCTTTCTACCAGTCTGATATACCTATAATAACCAATCCAACTAAAGGCATACATTAAAATAATCACTTCCACTTTATTTTTAACCCACTGTTTTTCTTTCTAGAAGGCATTTATGACATTTTCCCCAACCATTAACAATAAGTTATGGGCAGATGTTTATTTTTTTTCCAGCTTGATAATAATGAAAATTGCCTTTCAAATCCACACAGGGAAGAATTTTCAGAAGCAGCGCCGATGTAAATCTTAAGGTGATATCCCAGTCTCTGGTGACATTAACTCCCCATGGGAACTGTTAAAGCCACAGACGTGCAATTATCACGGAAAAGAAAATATTCTGTCAGGATATTTGCGTAGCTACTCGACTTTCACGTGTAAATTCATTCCACCCAGTGTGTGCTGATCCCAAGTAAAGTCCACTTTATGAGAGTCCCAGCTCTGGAGGCTCCCTGGGGGACCACAGCTGAGGAGAAGTGTGCATACACTAAGATAATATTTACAATCCTGCCAGATAGATTCTTTTTCAAATTAATTATAGCACAGAGTGGAATCAAATGTGAAATACAGAGATGTGTGTAAGCAGCTTAACCATTAGAAGTAGAATTACAGCATTGTGGCTGCACTACTACTGCATCAGCCAACGGTACCAACCACAGTAATGCAATTGAACATTAATCTTCATTCATGTAACTGCTTCACATAATGACCTCGCTATTATGTTGATTGTTTACTTTTTGGGGGGGGGGGGCAGAACTACAACTTAACATTTAAATTTTACATTAAAAAATAAGTCCGATTTACAGTGTGTCTTATTTACTAATAAACTTTTTTTGAAGTGAATGTTAAATAAAGTCTGTGAGTCATGTAAAAAGCAAAGGCTGATATGTTTCAAACCCACAACCTAAACCACATTTTAATGCATGCAGTGTAAAAACGGAAGGGAAATGTATTCGTGACCTTTCTCTCTGTGCATGCAAATGGCCTGTTTGTTGATGACTGACACACAGCATATAAAAAAACATTTAAAACTGTCTTTGAAGGGACAGAAATTGACCATCTTATTTCCTTAACCATATTTCTATATTTGTCTTTAAATAACAAGACTACTTAGTATGAAGCTAATTCGATTAGCATAAATGTAATTCATCATGGCTGCAGAAATTTTCAGAAATCAACAGAAATCTGTTCTTTGTTTTGTAACATACAGCACATACAAGTTAAAAGTATGTTTTATGTGATGTTGTTCATACAATTGTTGGTCAACACATTCAATTTCTACTTAAGGAAAGATGAGAAACAATTGAATCATTATTTTGTCATTTCACCAACGCCTCCTGGCTGCCGTTTATGACTTCCAAAGACGTACTGATCACAGTAAAAACAGAGCTGTCTAATGTCATCATGAGGTTCAATAAAGCATGTGGTGAAGTTGATAGATTCTTCCTGAGAATAATAATGCGACTAAAGACATTATTCTCCAGACTTGTTCATTCAGCAACACACGCGTTGGAAAATGTTGCACTTTGCTGGATCAACATAAACATTTTTGGCTCACAGTGACTTCAGCTAATGATGACAACTTGAACAGACAGTAGCATTGGCAACGGGCTGCTTAAAAACAAAAGCAGCACTTATCATGTTTGTTTACAATGCTATGACTCTGCGTAGTGCCCTGTGTTTACATAAGGATGTTTATGAAACTACAGCACATGTTTTTAATTAAAATTTGCCTTTTGTCTGCTGGCAACTAGTTTCAATTACGACATGGTTTTCCATTGTTGCTATACAATTTAGTAAATTTGACAATACAAAATGTATATTTTTCTGACTATTGATACTGCAGAAATGTTATTATCATCGGTTCAGTCTGTAGACATGCTCATTATAACATTCTAGTAAAACAACAACAACAAAAACTGTTTATTCTGACTATTCTGGGCTAAATCCCATAATTAAGCACACATCTAACTATGAGTGTGACTAAATGTCAGATACAAATTGAATGCTACAAATTTCACCTAAACATTCTATAGCGCATCTCCAAATGAAAAATGTCATGTTTTTGAAATCTTCTTTTATTACTCTGTGGACAAAGACTTAATTTGTTTTAAAAACTGTTCATCATGACAGTATTTTGCCTATTTGACAGTACTGAAGCCACCCCATTCAAGTTGATGCTATCTATTTATGTCTGTGGCATTTTTTATTGTTTAGTTCCCTTAATTCACTCACTTAATTTGTGTTTATTTGTAATATTTAATTTATAGTTGGGATAAATTAATAAATGTCCTAATTAATTTTTAAAGTGAAAATCTGAAAAAAAAAAGAACATAAACCAGCTGTTCTCAGGTGTGAAATGTTAGGCCCAATAGAATGCTTGAAAAATGTCAAAAATATTTTAGGGTGAGCAGCTGGGTTTAGAAAAGCAGAAGAGTGGATGGAGTGCTGTCATGTCAAGAGTGCGTGCACACACATTCATCTGAAGAAAGAAAAAAACTTTGACAACTTCTGTTTCACAGCCACAGGAAGCTGCTAGGGTCTTGAAAAAATGTCACACAAAAATAAAATAAAGGAGGGAACAGACACGTTTACAGGCGCTTGTTTAAATGAATAGCTGACTACAGATAGATTAGACCGTTTAAAGCTTAAGCAGCTGCTGCAAAAATGAAATATCAAGCGACACATCAGAGCCTGAAGGCAGCATCCATGATCCAGAGTACAAAACCTCAGTGAAGGCTGCGAGCAACAAGATAGAGCCATAGAACTGAAGAGGAGCCAACCGTTTCTCTGCCTCTCCCATACAGAGCAGAATGAAATTAACACAGGGTCAAACGTGTAGCTTTTGTAAAAAAAAAAAAAAATTTAAAAAAGGTGGGGAAAGTAACGTATTTTTAGCACCACCCAATTTGAAGTGGATTAGGCGATTTACACATTTCCCCAAGCACAGATGAATTAGTACTTTAATGTTGATAAAAAAAGTTGTTTATCTCTTACCTGTCATCTTTCTACGGGTCATAATGTACAAACAATGCAGCTGTAGCCAAACACTCAGCGCTGTCCTCGTGCTCACCTACACTTCTGTGAGCGTCTGAGAGTCAACCGCTCTGTGCTGCGCGAACAAGCCCCGCCCACTTCACTCACACGGGTGCGCGCTCCAGCACGCACGCGTTTCCTTTTCAGAGCCGCATCCAGGAAGTTAACGGAAAAGCTGGGGTGGGGGGGGGGGGGTTAAATCGACACACGGGTGTCAGAAAATAGACTCCACCTGAACATACAAGTATGGCTCTTATAATTAAAGCCTTAATTATATATTGAATAAGAAAAAAAATGATTAAATTACAAAAGATTCAGTTTTCAATTGTTATATATACAAAAAGCAAACAAAAAAACAAAGAAACTAACTAGTCTTCCACCGTGGGAGCATGTCTTATACGTGTTACACAAAATTCTTTTGCATTAACATACACCCCAGGCTGCAACAATACAGATGAGATTTAACCAACACAGACATAAAATTGCTAACAGCAACTTTGTCTATAGTTAGCCAAAATACAGATTTAGCCAAAAATATTTGATAAGAAATAAGAGTTGAAGGAGCGAACACAACTCAAGTAATAAGTCGACTCAACGCTTGGGTGAATTGTTTTTATTGCATGGATTGTAATAGCTGCAGAAATATTTCAGATGAGCACAGTTGGGTTTGAAACCTTCCTGTAGTGACAAAGACCGAATCAGTGGACATTCGAATGGCACAGCAAAGGTATTTTGTCAAACTCGGTTTACATTTTTTCTTGTTCCATTTGCCACAAGACCAGAGTTTATATACTGCATTAAAACCACAACTGCAGTACTGTGGGGTTTGGGGAGGTTATTTAACAGTACTGGCATGGTATTGTAAGTTCATGCATTGACTTAAAATGTGCTTTACTGTCCTAAAAACTGGAGAAGATGGACAACAGTAGTGACAATTGGTGGTAGTTATTGCTGGTTCCTACTTTTTACTGAAAATGAAACTCATCGTGTTTAGGTCCAAGGAGTCGGGAGTTGCACTGTGCTTTGGTGTTTCTCTTTTACTCCCTAAAGCCATGTACAGCTGCCCGTTCAGATTAGATATCTTGATACTATTAGTCGATGACCCAAAAGAAGCACTGATAAACCGTGTAAATGCAGTATACAAGCCCTTAATCTGTGTAGATGAAGACACAGCTCAATGCCTCCATCTACAGGTAGGGTTCTGTAGTGCAACGGCAGAGTGAGGTCAACCTACAGTTATGAAATTTTGTTGATTTGAGCTTTGAAATCAGAAATTAAAAAAAAAATCAAATCCCTTTTCAGTAAATAATCTAGCCACAAAATAAAAGAAAAATAATCACTAAATTTGTAAAGTGGTCTCTCAAGCTTGTCAAAGTAACTTGGTCACTCAACTGTCACAGGCACAAAAAAACAAACAGAAAGAACACAATTAAATAATAAAGGTGGTGATTTTTTTTTTAAAGTGTACCTGAATATTCTTGTTTCCAGCCCACCTTTTCATAACTTTGCCTATGTCAAAAATAGGATTTAAAGACACAGGCATCAACGTTAATAAAACATTTATCCAATCTATTCTCTTATAATTAATAAAAAAATAAATACATTTAACAAATAGAAAGGATTTCATCAGTCGGTAAAACACCGAGGGAACAGATCATCACCCACAGTTTAGTTTGTGGGATTTCCAATACAACGGTTACTGATTCAAACCTGTCGTCTTAAAGCCTGCACACGGGTGAGACGAGATGATGATCTCTCAGTCAGTCTTTTACAGGGCTGCACGTAAGCAGCGGTTCAATCGAGGCTAACTGTTAACAATGTAGCACACTCAAAGAGAGCAACTGAGAGGAGAAGTTTGATGCTGATGATTCATGTTGGCAATGAGACCCATGACAGCCAGAAGCTGCTGGAATAAGATGTGCATGTTTATGTCTTCGATCAGTATACCTTGTAAAAATGTCATATCAAACAATCTCTTCTTGTTTTTTTTCCATTTTTAAATTATTTTTCTGGTGCATTTTTGTACAAATCTTTGTATAACCTGTTCAGACATAATAAAACAGATTAAACGAACAGGAGGAAAAAAAAAATCAACCAACAAAAGAAATCTCATGCATAAATTATGTCGCACTCTCACTGATTGCATTTGTAAGTTACCATCTTAAAAAAATCTTTGTATTTTTTTTCTGCTATTAAACTTTTTGTGTTTTATACATTTTTATACTTTTCTAAGCTATTTGTTATTTTCTTCCCCGTTTTTTTTTTTAATAGAAGTTTGGATCCTATCTTTCAGCCTACAGCTCCTGGGGTCGACAGACATACGGCAAGTCTGCTCCTGAACAGTAGGAGGCGCACACGGCATGCTGTGTCGTTGCTGGCTGTGGTACAGGAAACTGCTCCTTTGAAGAAGCCCTCAGGAAGCAAATGAACATTTCATCACTTGTAATTTCAGTTCAGGTTCAAGGAATTAAATCCCATTTCCTCTAACCTTTTCTTTGCCAACTAGGAATAGTTGCTTGTGAAAAGCTTGACGGAGCGGCGAATACCGTAGGTGTTTTAATACTACTAACAACCTCCATAGGCTGGAGTCTGGCAGCAGAGGTGGGACACGACAGGCAGTCAGTTGCAGACAAGGGTGGCAGACCAGGCGGGGGAGATGTGGTCAGCCTTATCTGCAGAGATCATCTTGTGTGGAATCCCTTACATTTTTCCTCTTTTTACTGTTGCCCTGGTGGTGCGGTTTGTTGCCCGCTGGACTTTTGGTGCTGGATGAGGAGCTCTGCTGCCCATGATGGCCACTCTTTTGGTGGGAGCGAGACATCCTGGCCTGGGATGAAACACAAACACAAAATGGTCTTGAAGTAGAATGTTAACATTGATTTACACCAGGGGTATCCACAAATGTTTGGCTTGGGAGCGACTACTGAATTGACCAGGCTGAAGTCATCTACCAACATCGAGAATGCTGAACATATATTAACTCATAATAGCTGAATACATGTCATTTATGTCAAATAAATGTAAAACTTCCTGCAGTTTATGGTGATATATACACACTATAAGAATTATATTATATTTAAAAGCTGCGATGTACCTTTCCTCCCTTGTTGCTTCCAGTTACAGTGCTGGTAGTGTGACTCTGTGGTCGGTGATTTACAGCTGATGACTTCTCTCTGTGGGAACTGGAGCCTCGGCCTGACTGCTGCTTAGCTGTTTTACACGGTGTACCATCAGAGTCCTGGGACACACACAAAAGAAAAAAATCAATATCACTATATATTTTAAAAATAAAAATAAATTTAGCAACGGAATGAATGGTTTTTTGTGTGAAACAAACCGCGTCACTGGAGCTGGAAGTCGTGGATGTGGAAGACGGTGAGAGCAGGGAAGAGGAAGGAGAGGAGCGCAGAGAGGGAGATGGAGAAGAGGAGTTGGAGGAGGTTTTGCTGTGGGGGTTGGATGGTAGAACTACAACGTTGTCACCGTCGTCTGGAACATTGTTGTTGCACTCGTCCAGCTGCTGGGACTCAAAACGTGTGACATCATTTCCTGCGCAGAAGAGTTCATAATCAACAACAAGAATGTGGTAATACTTGTCCTTTTGTCTGGTCAGCATTCCCCTGTCTCTCTCCTAGGTTAGTCATCTTTAACGTGTTTAGTTGTGCGTGTTTGGTCCATAAGTGTTATCAAAACTGAGGAGTGGGTGCTAGTATTTGTACCTGTTCAAGTGGATCACACTAATGCAGGAGCAGTGTCTTACAGTAAATGGAAGGCCAACTATTTTAGTAGGTTTGGTTCTATTTTCATTTTTTGATGAACTCACTGTTTAGCGGCAGATCATTCTGCGATGGGCTCGTCCAGTTTTTCCTAATCCACTCCCTATATTCGTCCACTTCCTGGGTCACACGGATTATTCTGCCAAGTATGCTGTGTTGAGATAGAAACTCAGGTAAACAACTGAATATTGTCTATGGGATATTGTTGAAACCATTACTGAAATACAATTGTGTGATGGACAACTTCTCACCTCTCCGTCTCATTATTGGGGTAGTACTTGGCGATGGGTGACACAGCATGACTCAGCACCACATAGGCGTAGTCAAATGCCTGCTTCACCTGCATGGCACCATACGAGCTCCTGCCGACATCGTTGTCTGTTGGACACAAGACGGACGCCGCGTTTTATGACCATGAAGTCCAATATGTTCATGTTCAAATTTCAGAGACAAAACTTTTGGTGTCTTTTGTCTCTGTGGTTCCTACCAGGCTGCAGCGGGTCCTCGATGTAGAGCATGGAGGGCCTGTAACCGTCCATCATGTTCTTCTGAACTTCATCTTTGGCAACGTAGCACCCTCCGTCTTTTATCCTGATGCCTGTCTTCAGGTAGTTGAAGTGGCGACCATAGAGCTCAAAGAATTCAATAAGCAGGACGCCAATGTTAATGTTGGGGCTCGACACGTCCTCCCTGTAGTGCAGCTGTTACACAGGAGAATAAATCCAATGTTTATGACAGGGGTTTTCAGTGAGAAGATCATTATTTTCTCTTTGTAGATGCATGCATAGTTTCCACTTTTCTTTTGTTGCCTTATTTCACAAGGTTCTTTTTTTTCTTAGGTTAAATACATTTCTCATTATGCTGAAACAAGTTTCAACTGATGAATCTACTAAAACACAATAAAACAAAAAAAGGAAAACTCAAGCTTCCTCAGGGAAGCCCCCCCTAGTAAATCACAGTAAATTGTATTTGACATAAAATAAAAGACCAACATTAATTAGAATGACGTGAGAATGCACAAGAGCAGAATAACGATCATTTTTCTTTATGGTCCAGACTTGAAACCCTACCTGCAGGAAGCTGACAGCCATAAGGAACAAACTGTAGGATCCGATCCCACCAGTGAAAACCTCATTGAGGTCCCTCTGCAGAAGGAACTGCTTCAGCACCAACACCAAATAAGGCAGCACAGGATATTTCTACAAGACAAAACAAGGTGATTGATAATTAGTGTAAACACTTGATTAGTGAACCGTTTTTAAAGGCGTTTTGCTCATTCATATTGTTCAAACACTTCAGGCATTAATTGAAACCCCTCAGAACTCAATAAATAAATGCAGACAACACTGTAGTTTAGTTTCAGGTGTAGTTAAGCTGCCCTAAATTTAATTAGGCAGCACAAAATTAAGTGGGTTTTTTCTAAAAACATTCAACATTTACGCTATCATTATTTCAAAATAAATGATAAAGCAAATAAATAAAGCAAAATATAGTAATGTTTTTTTTATATTACAGCACATCAACATTTTCCTAACAGACCATAAGTAAACAACACTACAGGTACATTACATATTGAAATTTTAAAATTTTAAATGTTTGTGAAACAGCAGCAGTGAGGAGCTTGAATCCAACTGTACCTCTTTGAACTCCTTGATGAGCCGAGCAGCTTTAACACCACTCTTCACGTTGAAGCTGATGTCAACCTTAACCTCAGTGAAGGAGTCGGTCAGTTTAATGATGGGAACCTGAAAACAAATATATAACGTTGATTTTTATTATATACTGAGGAATGATAAAGCCTAAAAAGCAAAATTAGGTGAAAAAAGTGATTGTTATAATGATAATAAATAGAAATACATTCACTGTGTGTGTGTTTCCACTACAGAGAAAAAAACCTGCCTAAGCAAATTTGATCACACCTTAAATTTAGTTACACTCTTGTTGATACTTCCACCAAAGGCTAATGTCAGATTTGTGCTTGTTAGTTTCACATGTGTCGGCATGTCTGTCAGCAATCTTTGGTATCACTGAGACATCCATGTGTTTTTGCTACTTTTGATTTATTTCCGGTTAACTTAACTGTTTCAAAGACCATTTCTACTTCACTGTTTATGGCTAAATTTAAAGGTAACAAAAAGATTTATATACAGTAGCCTTACTCTGTCAACAAAACATCAGTGGAGTGTCCTGCGTGGTTCTGTCACATTCTCTGGGCTTGTTTATTTTATATAAAAGCACTCAATCTATTTAAATTTTTAATTTCAGAACACAGAGGGAGGCAGTGAATAAATCACCATCAAGATAAATGGTCATTCCTAAATATGACCAAACTCTTTTCTTCTGTATATCACTGGAACAAATTCCAGCAGGAGAATGTTTGTGTTTCATACCTGTTTTTATTTGTTACTAAACCAAATGATGGAATTATTAATATGGAAAAAATTTCAAGAAAAAGCATAATTCAAATCTGCAGTGCGTGTTAGGTGTGTATCGGCTATCAGAGCAATGAAAAGTAAATGGATGGTCGAATATGCAGTGCGCGCCATTCTACCTATGCCTTAAAATGTGTCAAACATTTAATTAAATATCATGGTTAACGCATTCATTTTGACATTGATTATGTCAGCTTATTGAATTAAGTAATATAACCTATTTCAATCATTCCTCCCAACTAATGACCCTTTTTTTATAATCTCCACAGGTGACCAGCATTCACATGTTGCTACACTGACACACCCACATTCCATTAGACGAGGAATCCATGCCAAACACAATCACCTCAGGGATAATGTCAACGCCCTGACAAGACCAAAAAATTTCACTTTGTCAGCGTTAATTAATTATCATACATCAATGCTGATTGCTTACACAAACACAAACACAGATCAAACAACACAGATGCACAAGAAGTTCATACCGTGGCTTTATCTAAGACTTTGATTGAGTTTTCATCTGCAACATTTCTTTTCCTCAGAGCCTCTTCCAGAGTCCAGAGTGGCAATGTCTCCCACTTCCCGAAAACAACCAGGTCAATGTCACTGGTAGAGAAAAGAGGACTGATTAAGGGCAATTCACAAAGAGTAGCGCTAACATAAAGGTACAATCTGGGGAGCTCATTTTATGGCTTTGACTTCTGGATGTCGGTCATCAGTAAAAGTCCTGAGTTAGAATTAAACTTTTAGACCCAGGCTCAGGAGTAATAAAGGCGACACAAGCACGTGATCTTCAAAACAAATGCAGGTATTGGCCCTTTGGTGCAAAAGAGCATTTCCTACTTCATCTGAAGAGAAATGCATGTTTTTAACGTGGAAAACATTTGAAAAATCACCTTGTGGGAAGGTAGAGACCGGTGCTGAAGCTTCCAAAAACCTGGACCTGAGAAGAATAAACACAGTGGAATTAAGTTAATTCTCTGTTATTATACCAGCACATGAATGTATTACTTTATTTTAGAATTAAACATTTTAACACTGCAGATGTTCAATTAGTAACAAAGACACCAGTGTGTTAACAAGCACCAACAAGGACCTTTGTTGGACTCTTACACTTTACAAGCCAAGTCTGAACAGATCCCAAAGGTTGGGTTCACCCGAGAAAAGAAAGGGAACTGGATTTATTTTTACAAATGTTTGGCAACTATTTAGGTCACATCTAATTTCAGTTACAGAGAAGTACGATCCCAGTGAAAACAAATTTTACCTTGGCTTATAGTGATTTAGAGAAGAGCTCAAACAAGTTGATACAAATCTGTCATTTCTGCGAGCTGACTGTAGCTGCACTGCCTGCAACATCTCCTGCCTTTTAACCGAACCAGACAGTAAAGATGTGAACATCCTCTGACAGACACAAACAAACAGGAGTAATCCTGAATCACATCTCAGCGTAACTGCATCACAACGTGTTCCTTAGATCTAGCCACATGAGTGGCAGCAAATAGGATTGTTGGAGATGTGTTTGCAGACGAATGAACTGCAAATCCCAAACACTTCTAGGAGGTGTAAGATCACCTCAGATGGTCACGTTGTTGAGCTAACGCCTAATCCCATCTGGATGCTGACATGTTAGTATTTTTTTTAACCTGCTTGAAACTAGGATTCCTGCCCAGTTTGAATTAATAGTCTACATATAGGATTATTATCTTAAGTATAAGAATAACTACAGTTTTCAAGGTTTAAACCCACATAATATTGTGACATCAGCCAGAGGACAACAGCATTCTCACATTAAAAAAAATACTCAGTTTGTAATTGTACGGAAGAAATCAAATCTACACTCTCTTGTAGTCACTTCCAAGATTTCCATCTCCATTACACATCTGTGTGCCACTTATGACATGGAGCCGGGGGCTGCTAACAAACACCGCTTGACCCGATGACCAAATGCCCACCTCCCCACCCCTCCATTCCCCTGCTCTCAGCACTGCTACTATATTGTGCTCTGTATTTCAGGAGCTGCTGAGCTCAGAGCAGACGCACGTCAGCCAACCACCGCTTTATCAGCAGGATCAGAGTCAGCGGGTGAACAAGTGCCTGAGGAGGCTCTGATTAACATGGCCCAAACAGATTACTGTGCAGCAGCCAGATAGCAGGCAGGGAGAGAAATCTTTTTATGAAAAGCTGAAATTTTACAGCTCCTATCTGTGACATCACATACTCTGCCTTTGTATTCACTGTGGTGCCTGGGCATTGTGTGATTTATTTATCCGTGGTGTTTACTAAGACCAGACTGTTCACACTGGGGTTCATTTAGTACCAGTGGTTATAAAGCCTATGTGCATCGGTTCCATACAAGATTATATTTTATGTATAAAAATATATATATCCATGACTGTTGGACCAAATAGACCAGTTTATATTTAAGTATATAGCACATAGGGGTGTGTATCGGAATGTTTTTTGCTTGTTATGTGATAATCATTCATTCAAGTTTGTCGACTTTCTCCAAATGTTTGTGCACTTTTCTCACGGATACGGCACAAACCAATAATAGCACTGCCAGTCTTTTCTCTACAGCTCTGTGTTCATTTCCAGCTTTTTCTATCAAACCATACATTGGTTATCATACAACGGTCTTCTTCTCTCCTGACAGACAAGATTGTTTTCATCAAATAGCTGCTGGTTCTTCTCACACCGTGTAATCGGTGACACATCAGGAGAAAAAAAAATTAAGCTTGTCACACCCAGCTGATAGAATTTGTGGATTGGTGAAGATATGTACCTCAGCACTGGGCCATAGGTCGTGGATGACTCCCTTGATTCTATCCACAACCTCCAGTCTCATCTTCTCCTCCTCCGGTCGGGGGGAAATGTAATTGTAGAAGTCATTGATCTCCTCGTGTAACCTGTACAGGACACACAACACTGAGAGGTGACAATAGTGAAAAGGAAACAGGGCTGGAGAGAGGTTACAGCCCAGACAAAAATGTCTTTGCAACAAAACAGAGGAATCGAACTCAGGTCATACAACACGTGCCGGGCTGAAGAGGAATAAAAGGAATGTTGCCTGAACACGCCCGCCAAGTTTAAGCATCTGTGGGATATTCAAATGGCGACAGAGTGAGTGAATGTCACACCAACGTCTCAGGGACAAGTGACACCTTTGGCCTGAGGACAACTGACAAGGTTGTACAACAGCTTAATATTTTTACAGCTTATATTTAAAATAATATTTAAACAGCTTTTTATTTTACCCAATGTTTGATAGGTCACAACAAGAGTGATTAGTGTTCCTCCACTCTTAACATATATGGATTTTTTTTTCCATTTATAAACATAAACACGATCCGATCAGGGATTATTAGAGAAAATCAGTGGAGGATGCTTGTGTTATTAAACAGAATTATTTTGTAACTAATTAACTGAAGTGTTGAGTCATCAATCAGGTTTCTGTTGGGAGGAGGTTCACTCCTGATGTAGCAGGCAGGTCAGTTTCTTTTAAACCAAAAAATATAAAAGAAAAATATGGGAAGGTCATTTGTCCAAATTGCTGATACAGTTCTAACCAAGTACTGACCTCTTCTGAGCCACAGCCCAACGCAATCAACAAACATAACCATGGTAAGGCTGCAGACTACTAGTCACAGACATAGTTGGTTTTGTTAACAAACCAAGAGAAGATTGGCAACATTACCAAGTGTTCAACAATTGAGATGAATTCTAAAGATCAGGACAAACCAAGGCTAAACAGATCATTATTAGGAAAGTGGAAATGCTGCCAAGACCATAGTGAATGATTCAGTGCAGCCTGGAATAGAGGACTTCACAGGAAGGCACTGAAAGGTTACAGAGACCGAAAACTTTTAATTCTTCAGAAAACACAAGGGCTGTGACGGAACACTATCACTGGACAGGACCATACACAATACTGGTATTTTGGTAGTACTGTATTTGATGATTAGACTTCAAAGATTTTAAAATGAGATTCATGCTGGAAGAACAACTTTTATCAAATTGAAAATGTATCTTTGTTTACACATTTTCACTTACACATAGTTTGTGCATTGTCAGTAACTCTCTGCAGCCCATAGCTTTAACATATCATAAGGCTTAGGTGCTAAGCTTTATTAGCCATCTTAGGTTAACTTAATTTTGACACTAGGCTGACCTAACAAATTGTAAAATGTAACAAAGCCAAAATGTGCACCATCTCACCAAAAAGGATCTAGACAATTCTTTTAAGAACACTGTCCAGATGTCGGGGGCAGAAACAGGTCTGGATCAGTGTTTTATGTTTTTTCAACATAAAAAAAACAGCACAATCTGCTAAACTGATGACGAAGGATCCTTAAAAAGCCCAAAACATTAATGATCTCCAAAAAAGCCAGACTGCAATCCCAGAGCAGATCTATGGAGGGGACTGCAAACCATCACTACAGAGGTCTCCTTGACAGATGAGCACACTCTGTGAGTATGTGTGCCAACACAGAGGCCCAACTGAAGCAGTGTATTTACATCGCTGTTGTTGGGCTGACTGCCGACAGGTCTCAGTGAACTGAGCTGAGTGTAAATGTTGGAAGTTAATGAAAATGGAGATGAATGAAAGGCAGGGAAATTTGAAGTAGTGCTCAGTGGAAACACTGAGTCTCTTTGTTCACTTCACTGATTCGAGTTCCCTTTAAAAAAACACACACTGTAGACTGTTTCTTGCAATAACACAAAAAAAGATTTTAATATTTTCTCTAAGAAATCTGGTAAAATCATGAAGTCACTCAACAATAAAAAATAAACAAAAGTGCTCGACAGAGGAATGAGAAGACAGTAATCCGCCTGCTTAGGAAAATACCTGCTTCATTTGGGGTTATTCTCTGTTTTACTTCTTGTGTAGCAAGGTCACACACCAAAGATCCTCTCTGCTCTGTTGGAAATATTTAATGTCAAAGCCATTTGAGCAATGGTTAATTAGTTGGCTGAAGTAACTCATAACCATACGTTGGTGATAAAATGATTTTGGACTCTGTGAAAGACTCCATTAAATGGATAAATGTTTTTAGTCCTGTTCACGTGTAACCTTGTGCGTTACATTTCCCAACTTGTCAATTGTTAAAAATTAAATTAAAAATTACAAAATCTTTGATGTCTAGGAGCCTAACTAAAATAACCTCCAAAAATGCTCTTTTGGTCCTCAACAGGCTTTGCAGAAATGCAAACACTATGTGTCATTTGACACTGCTGCATTCACTGAACCTCTAACCACGAGCAGCCTCAAGTTGCCAGGGCCGTCATCACACACTGCTTCTTAAAACAAGAACAACAACAGCAGAACTGAAGGTGTCTGTGTCCTGCAGATGGCAGATCCATTAATGTTTCATCAATGAACTGATATGTTGGCCACTGGGACAAAACATATAAAGTTACAAAGGAGCTAAACAGCTGAGTGACTGGACCTTTGGTGTCAGACACATATACATGATGGACCAAGCAGCTTTAGTCTGTACAAATAGCTATGATGAAGCTGTCAGTCACAGACCAAACATATTGGTCAGCAGGTGAGAGGAACAGGGTCACAGCTCAAATGCCCTTTTCATGTTAGGACCCACTACAAAATCTGTTAAAATGACTGGTCCTGTAAAAAGTACGAATAAATGTCAGGAGAAAATGTATGAAATAATCAAAAGAAAGTTTCTCAAACCACCAGGGGACCTCATAGCGCAATTCATTTGACCAACCTTAACACTTCTCAAAGTTACACAGAAAATATGTAAGTACAGCCTGTTGTACACATTTCTAATAATAAACATTCACTTTATTTGTACCACAGGGGCAATAATGGAATGATCTGCAACTTTATTTCCTCTATCCAATGTGAATATAATTTCCCTAGAAATAAACATTTGTAAAATGGTTTTGAAGTAATAGCTGTGAATGCTGGGGGGTCTGGGAATCACTGACCTAGTGTCGAAAAGGATCAGGTTTTTAATTGGACTGCCAAGAAGGGAAACGTGCCAAATGAAAGAAATGGTACAAAAACCTCCCCCCAATCTCCAGGCAGTCGAAGTGCAGCCCACAACTCCAGTATATATGACGTTAGTCAAGTAAGTGTTTGACAGAGGGGTTAAATGCAAAGATTAAGGGAAATGGCCAAAGCATTTAAATTTTGTAAACAAGCTCAGAAGGTCACGGGATGAACACAGTGCATAGAGAAAAAAAATGCTATGTGTTGCAGTGTTGGCAGCATTGATATGGAGCATACCAGTGTTTATGCTGAACAGGAAGGAGGGGAAAAAACACATTCCTCTGTGCAAATGGGAAGGCTGAGTTATGGAGAGCTGCCCACACGTGCTGTTTAGAGAAGGACTGTTTACACGGAAAAGTCCAAAAGAGCAGCACGCACAGGCTGACAGGCTCTGGCTGAGAGCCAGTCCCGCCACAGGGACTGGAGGAGAGGAAGGGAGAGTGACATAGATGTCAAAGACTGTGGAGGAGATAAACTGCAGTTCTAATAATGGAGGAAGAGACACAGAGGTGTGATCTGTGTGCTAGCGCTCAGTGTCATAAATTTAAAAGACAACAAAATAGAATACCTTAACACTTTGCACAAGAGCCACTCATCAGTGAGATTAGACATGTATTTGATTAGCCTGCAAGTGATGGTGTGCTCAAACACTTTAAGTGGAAAAATGCTAATTGTGTCACAGTGAGAGAAAATTAACATTATTGAAGATGGATGTTAGACAGCTGTTGTAAATACTGCTATATTTTCAAAAAGCCTAATGAAAGTGTTATCCTTCCAGTGGCTCATCACAACTACCACAAACAAGCAAACAGGATACTAAGGCTTCACACATTCATTCCACTTTTTTTCATTTAATGACAAAATTTGAATAATTTCTAAATAAATAAAAGGTTTTGAATTAGGGTGAGGTTTGGGCCTCTTCTGTTGTTATTTTGTTTGCAGTAATGTAGCAGATGACATTCTAGTCAGTATGGTACAATGACAGGACAACAGAAACTAACTGTGGTCTGACTATATGTATATGTTTAAGCCAGAGTCAGACCCAGAACAAGAAGCAGCTTCCGAAGAAAGTGGAGACGAGAATAAACCAGGATGTTAGTCAATGGTTGGTAGTTAAGTTTTTAATATGCAGACTAACCAAAGTTAACCAAAGTCACTGACTGTGTACCCTGTGTCGCTATAGATGACAACCCACATCTAGGGTCTTGTGTGTTTACATAACAAAGTGTGTCTACATTTAGTGCTCTGCTAAATAAGTAGCTGTGCTTAGCTTATTTGTTGCACACAATAGAGGTCTGGCAGTCATGCAGGAGTAAAGCAACTGGTGGATCCTAGCAGAGGTAGGCGTCGTATTATGGGTGGGGCTACCCAGTGCAAAGGCTGGGTTGACATAACTGTAGGAGACGCATTTATAAATAAACTTTAAAAGAATAAAATTATTACATCAATATTACATTGTACCCACATATCAGTAGGTACAATGTAATGCACAGACGTTTCACTAAAGACAAAGTCAAAATAGCTCAGTGTTTACACAAAGTATATAACATTAAAAATATGCTGAATTGACTGGACTTTCAGATCAACATTTGCCTAAACATCGGCTTGCTCAAACAGTGTGCATCAATGTGTGCAAATGTTAAAAAAAACAAGTGATTTTATCTACCCATACTGAAGTCCAGTCACGGGGAGACTAAATGGACGGTCTTTGTTATTAAAATTACTCGTACACATTGCATTTCCTCTTCACATTACAAAGTTCTACAACCATAAGCCTTCAAAGCCATACTGTCATCTCGTGTCCATTAAAAAAATCTCAGCAGCTGTTCTCACAGGCCACAGAAAGCAGTGTTTCAGGATCGAAACACACTTTGACAGTCTTCATCCTGATTGGATATTCAGTGAAGAGGATCAGATTTCTGTTCTGCGGATTGGTCAAGTCATATGGGAGTGTGGATGTGTGGAGTATGTAAACACTACTGCATTTTCTTCACCAAATGGACTATGCCAGTTAATTCTAGGGAAGCATAAATCCTTGTACATACTTGTTGCAGACTTTGGCAGGCAGCACAACCAGGCACCTAGAGTTCATAGAACACCCACGTCAGCATAGAGGGATGTAGACAGTCCTTTGTTTACTCAAAACTTAAGTCTTCCTTCTGCTTTCTTTAATGATCTCTTTACACACCAGTGATCAAAGGCATGACCAATCTGATATTCATTACTACTAACTGGAAAATATAAACAGTCAGAGAGTTCATTAATCGGATCCCATATTGAAAACCCAAGATATGTGGCTATTGTAAGATATTTGTAGTTTTGGCTTTTAACAGGCTGGCTATGTCACCTTTCTTCAAATGTGGACAACGAACACCATTTATACTATCTCATATAAATGTCTCAGCCTTATGAATCAACTGTACTTCACATTTGCACAATGAAAGATTCCTGTAAGTTACAAAACATGTAGGTAATATATAGAGAGAGAGAATATTTAGAGAACATTTTAGAGAACATTTCAAGTGGTGGTGAATTTGATCAATAATTTTTTGCTCTAGGTTCTAATATTAGTCAAGGTAATCCACCAAGAACGCCTTTAGGCATGCAGAGCTTTTACATCACCATAAGAGACCCCAAGGTTGAGCTGTAAGCCCAGGGGCTGTGCAAACATGTGTGAAGAAAAGAGAAACTTTTGGCACACAAAACCATTAAACAAATCCTCAAAAATGTTACCTCCTGAAAGACATAAAACAAACACAGCAGAGGAAAAGCCATGGATAGCCATTTTCCTTCGACTGCTGGGTAAGTGAGACAAGTACTATAGCTTTCGTTTATCAGGAAAGGAAAGCTAGACAAACATGGTGCTGGGTGGAAGCTGTGCTGTCAGCCAGTACTTCTCTGAACTCTGTGTGTGGTTAAAAACTCTGTTTCTTTTACATGGGCGTGTAAATTTATAGACCCTGTGCAAATATATTTATCATCAAAATGTATACATGCAGACAGTTGTGGAGGGCTGCATGTAAATTAATGATTA